ATTGATGTCGGCGGAAATTACGTTGAGAGGACTTGAATGAACCCCCTTTCAGGGAAAAGTGAGGAAAAAAATGTAGCACACTTCCTTCTATAAAAATGAACGAATTTTTGATTTGCCCCTCGTATATGACGATGCAGGAAGCGTTTGAAGACACCCTTGACACGTGGGAAAACGATGACACATGGAGATACCCATCGTCGAAGACACTTAAGCCCAAAGTCTCCCTTCAATTTACGCAATTGCTACACATTTACGGAACAGGAAGTGGATGAAAATTCAACAAGTGCAAAAGTTTGCGTCGCCATCTTTGAATACAAAAATCTTCTTGGAAACGATGCAGCAATTGTAGTCATTTATCATTAATGTATTCAAAACTAATACAAGTTTCAGGTTTATAACCCTTCCCAAACATGGTTAAAATTAGCGTCAGTCAGTCAGTCAGTCACGATCGTCTATATATATTAGATGAAATTGAGGAAGGACTCAAAACAAATCGGGGTCCGGTTTCCAATATTTGTCTAAAGATGGTGGAGTTCGAACGGATACCCACAGACTTAGGGGGAAATTGCGTCAATAATTCCTACCTCCTGCAGCGATTCGACCCCGAAATCTTAAAGATAGCAAAGGAAACCCCATATACCAAGGAAGTAATAGCATATTCCAATATTTAATTCTCATCCGTCGAAGTTTGTTGTCTTATTGATAGTCATTTTTCTTTCACCGATCAGGCGTGTCTGAACTTTTGCGTTGCCACTCAATTGATGATTGACTTCAGTATCTCACTCAACTGCATGCAGTATACGGATTACAGGTTTTTCTTGAAGATCCACGAGGATAACGTCACCGGATGTGATGTGGGTGAAGAATTTGAAATGACACTTAATTTTATCATATGCCCATGCACCTATTTGTCTACTTGGTTCAATTGAGACAGCGATAGGATAATGTTTTAATGTTTGTATATGATTATTTACAATATGTGCTTCAGGCTTTGCACTTCAGTATTGATTTAAGGCTACTTCCTGGAGCACAGGTTACGATGGACTCAATCGAATCTTAAAGGACGTTAAATGGGTGGAGAAGCATGCCGAAAGTTCCTGTGCGCTCCAAAACACTGCATGTGAGCATCCCCCTGTATACATCCTTAATCATTGAATAAACGAAGAAGAAACTATGCTCGCTGATGGTTTAGAGAAAGGAGATGGGAACGGTCGTTCTGGTCGGAGCGTATGGGTCGTCATGACACCTTGATCATAAACCGGGCAGCTTGGATGAAGAACATGACGATGAATATTCAACCGAGTTTTTCCAAGGGGGAGTATTTTAAACTGCTTCAAAGCGAATTGGGAAACTCGACCTTCTGCTATAGCCCAAAGTTTGCATATTCATTGAAGCATCTTTCTGAAAACTAATACAGCCGGTATTAGTTTTCAGCAAAATTAGTTTCAATACAAATTCCATCACCTGGAATTTTTTGTTTTGCGAACGGATCTCGTCGATTAATTTAGCGCATACATGCTCGACATATACTGGGAGTCTGTAAATTTCCTTTCTGAAAGGACCATGCAGCTCTAACAACCGAAGAAATGGACCTGGAACTGTTTGTTCATCTAATTATTTTTTCAGTGAACAGATGGCGGTAGTGCATGTCTTCTACGAAACCACGACAGTGGAGAAAACAACGGAAATTCAGTTATATCCAGTGAGTCTAGAAATTCCCTAAGATTCTCTTCGGCCTCACTCAGATATTGACGGAAATCAAATCTCTCCATTCTTCGGTAGTGGTCGAGTTTCATCGGAACTTTCGGAGGTTTGCTGGGACTCTACACTGGGATGTCTTTCATCTCGGTTCTGGAGTTGCTGGAATGGATCTTGGACATGTTCTTGTACGGCTGGAGGAAGCCACGTCAAGATAAGATGGGACCGAAACGACGAGCGATTCTCGTGTGTGAGTTGATGCTTATTTTACAAGTTGAAGCTAAAATTTAGCATTTGTAACTATCTCAGAAATAAATAATTTTCTTCTTCTCCCAATGGCCTGGCAGGGACAGACCTGGATCTTGAAGAAGAGTCGAGAAAGAAAACCAGTCGAATAGGGGAACTTTCTTTGGAAAACTCACAAGTCTATACTTGTCCACCCTTTAAGGAAACCAAAACCCTTAACTGACCGACATATAGTGGCGCACATGTCAACTGTGATTTCACATGATTCCTGTTGCATCATGTCTCACAAATTTTGCATTGTTTCACGTTTATAGCTGTGCACCTTGTATGAGGTATACCAACAAAAAAACCTAGAGCGCTGAGGTCTGGAGACCGCGAGGGGTATTCATGGGCCCTCCCCGGATGACCTATCCACCTTTCAGAAAATTCATTATCCAGATAGGCACGGATGTTTATGTGAAAGTGTGGTGGTGCACCATCTTGCTGAAAGTTCACCACTGTCCGGAAACATGTTTCTTATCGCAGAAACTGCAGCATTCATTAATAATTCAAGATAACTTTCCCCAATAGCAGTACCACTGAATATGTAAGGTCCGATTATCCCACGAGAGGGGAGTCCCACACACAGTAATTCCTGGCCTGGCCCTCCACAGTGAAACCTAAACATTTCTCTCCAGAAATAAGATAGGTTACGAGTGGTGGACATTTTGAACGTCTGTCCCAACTTTTCTGTGCATCACATTTCCACATATGTAATGCATGGAAAACTATTTTGGGTTTGTGTTTAATTAATAAACTTTTTGCGATACAACAACTTCAAGTGTTTACACATAATTCTGAATCGCCCTGTTGATTAGACTAGCCTGTTGGTTTGCCAGAAGAACAAACAAGCACGCTTATTATTATTATTCGTACGTCTCGGCCACACATACAGAGGAGAAAGGGGTGACAAACAAAAATAAACAAGAACAGCGGACTGAAACGGCACGGAAGGGTACACATTCGCGCATCACCAGCATGTTTACACTTGGAGGGGGGGAGACCTTAGCCACTCCAGGGCCTCGAGGGTGGCATGATGGATTCCGTCGAGACCTCCGGGAAAGGGGTGGAGTATGCACCTCGGCAGGTGGTCCATAGTTTGCGGAAATCCGCACGGACAGAGAGGGGTGTCGGAGTGGTGCCACTTGAAGAGAGGGTGGCATGATGGATTCCGTCGAGACCTCCGGGAAAGGGGTGGAGTATGCACCTCGGCAGGTGGTCCATAGTTTGCGGAAATCCGCACGGACAGAGAGGGGTGTCGGAGTGGTCCCACTTGAAGAGGAGGTAGTTGCACCTCCCGTGGTTCGTCCGGAACCTGTTGATCGATACCCATAGCTGCCTGGGGAGGTTGAATCCTGGCGGTTCTTGGGTGGGGTCGTCTATCAGGTGGTGGTTCCGGAGATGTACGGAAGACGCCCATTCGAACTTCCAGGCCTCCATAGGGTCGAAGGGGCCTTCGTGGAGGGCGCCACCAGTCATCCAGAAGGGCTTTCTCGACTTCAGCCGAGCTCTAGGGGGCCTGGCCAAGATCTTCTGAAGGGGGGTGGGGGTCTCCCGTGGTTCTAGTGTCTTTTCGAATTCCCTGACAGTTGCTGCTTTCCTCCGGATGGAAGGAGGAGCGATGTGGGAGAGGACCGGGAGCCATTCCACTGGCGTGGATTTGATGGCCCCCGTTATGACACGCATAGCCGCGTTCAATTGCGTGTCCACTCTGCCCACATGAGCACTGTGGGCCCAAACGGGGGAACAGTACTCGGCCACGGAGTAAACCAGCGCCATGGTGGAAATCCTCAGAGTTTGGGCGTCGGAGCCCCAAGTGGCACCCGCGAGTCTCCGAATAATGTTGATTCTTGGCTCGAGTTTTCCCCGCAAGGTCTCCAGATGGGCCCTATAGGTCAGGGTTCGATCCAGCGTTATTCCAAGGTACTTGGGGCACGGGTTGTGTTGGAGGACGCCCCCGGCGAACTCCGCCTTGATGGTAGTGTTCACTTCCTGAGTTGTTAGGTGGAAGACCGAAGAGAAAGATTTCTGGGGGTTCGGGATCAGCCTCCAGTTGGAGAAGTAGTCCCCCAGGCGTAGAAGATCGTCGTTTAGCAGGTCTTCGGCTTCCTGGAATGAGGGGGCTTTGGTGAGCACCGCTATGTCGTCTGCGTATTGAAATACGCTTCCTAAGGTGGCAGGGATGTCCGATAGGTATAGATTGAAGAGGGCTGGGGCCAGCACCGATCCCTGGGGGAGACCGTTTGTGAGACGTCTTGATCGACTCGAACGCCCTTCCATGACGACCTTGAAGGTTCTGTTGGACAGCATTTGGTCAATGAGTCCAACCATGACAGGGCAGCGGAGGCATCTCCAAAGCTTCAGGATCAGCCCTCTTCTCCAGACCGTGTCGTATGCTGCAGTGAGGTCGAGGAAAGCGGCCGCGACCTTCTGGCCTTCTTGGAAGGCTGCCTCGATGTGGCTGGTGAGGGCGAGGACCTGCTCGCAGCAGGCACGACCCGGTCGGAATCCAGCTTGTTCGATGGGGATCATCCTGTCGAGGTAGGGGAAGATTCTCTCCAGAACCACCCTTTCCAGCAGTTTGTAGGATGTGCATAGTAGAGCTATGGGGCGGAAATTGGCCGGTGTGTCTTTAGGCTTGCCCGGCTTAGGGATGGCATGGACCTGTGACTTCCTCCAGATTTTCGGGAGTGCGCCCGTACTGATTAAAATCCAAAATACCGATACCATCAAATTCACATACCTGGAAAGCTTCCTTCTTCTTGTACAGCTCATTCTGTCGGTCCAGGAGAGGTGCCTTAAGCTGCTCAAAGCGATCCTGCACCTTAGCCTTCTTTGCCTTTATTTCATCTTCCTTCTCTGGAGCAATCTTCTTTAGATGCTCAGCCTGGAATTCTAGTTCATCTACCTGCCGGGCCTTGATTGCCATCTGGGTTTCTATCATCTGCAAAAAAACAAAATTTGTGCTTGTGAATGATGCAAGCATGAAAAACTAAAGACATAATACACAGTGGTACTGAACAAACCTGTTGCTTCTGCATGAGGATGTTGACTGAGGTGAGATCCTGCCCAGTGTCTCCAACTTCAATTTGCTTTTCAAGATCACTCATCCATGAATCAATGTCATCACAGCTTTGTTCGTATAACACCTGTCATGAATACAGGATTTTGGGGGAATAAATATTCATTCATGTGATGAAGAAGGCCTGATATCCTGTCTGGTTATTTTACTGAGCATGAAAAAAAATGTATGAAACCAATAACTTAATGTAGCAGTGATAACTGAGATCTCCATATGCTTTAGAGATAGTACTAATAAGAAACTCCCACAGATCATCACAATCTCACTGTGCCCTGTGTTTTCTGTTGCCTTGTGGTAGCCCAAGTTGAGGCAATTTCATATATACATACATGCATTTCTGAAGCTGCTTATACCAACTTCATGGGGTCACAGTTCAAGTAGGCTTAGGAGCATCCTCCAGTGTTCCCAATCCTGGGCAACAGATGAACTCAGCAAGTGGAATACTGAGCCTCTTATGGCAAAGCTTTGCAACATAGTCCATCCATCTTACATGAGGCCTGCCTGCTGCCTTGTCTTCTGCAGTTCATTTTGGATTCGAAGACTCTTTGGGAGTCTCTCAGGGTCCATGTATGAGATGTATCCAAACCATGTAACTACATCTCTGGATCTTGATTCAGAGAAGTAGCTGCTTGATGTGGAACTACTCATTGATGATGGTGTTCCACATCTTCTCAAGCAACTCCAGCCACCCACCACAGAAATCACGATATCTATTGCCATAATTTATTTTTTTCATCTAGGTTCCCCCCACAATTAATACAACAGTAGAGTGACAAAACTGTAGCACAAATGCCAGGAGTTCAGCACTCTAACACATACTACCCCAGATAAATTAAATTCCAGAAATAAAGCTGATCAGCGCTAAATAAAATATTTCATACAGCAAGAGAGAATCAACAACAATGCTGGGAGTGATGACAGTATCTGGGGTCAACTTGATTTATTAACTGCTCAGGAACTGGCACAGTGCCTTGTCAGATCTTGGCTCTAAATCTACACCTTGTCATGTAAAGTATTGGACATAATTGCTCTCTAGTCTCTGCACCCTAACAAGACTGAATGGAACCCTGTAAAGTTGATGAAATTCATAATCAGAGGCATAATGCAAATTTGCCCTACTTGCAAACTCTGCAAGACACTATCAAGGCATTTACTCAATTAACCCTTTCAGACCTGAATTAAGGCCGCAATCTGAATAATATCCTTTTCAACATTTTTAGCTTTTTTGTGATTGCAATTGAAATTTTCATGCTTTATATGTAGTTTTCATATTTTGTATAAATTTACCATATCATACCATATATTATATATTAAGCATTCAATTAAGTAACTGAAGATTACAAAACTAATGGGTGAAAGAAGGCCTTGGATACAACTGAGTCATGCATAATTGAGCTCATTGTAGCATAATATGGAGCGCAAAGTCACGAGAATCCTAGGAAATTGCCATAGACACAATGTAAATGCAATGTCCATTGGAATGGATGCCAGGTCTGAAAGGGTTAATGAAGCACAGTTTTATGCTTAACAAGTAACAAAAAATAAAACAGATGTTTTGATACATTGTGAGGCAAAATGTAGAAGGTGACGATTTCCTTGTCCATGAAAGCATGATGATTTCAATAACACAAAATGAAGCAGCTCTTCAAGGTCTTCTAAATAAGCTAAAGAACATTACTGTGGGTAAACTTGAATGGTTTTCTTCATGTTGATTGTTCCCATGTATTGGAAACCAAGAGCATCAGTATAGAAAAAATTAGCAGAGGTTCATTTCTCAGTAGCAGCACCATGGATGCCAAATTATCATTCCAATTCAAGAGTTGACCTCCCATAGGTAATGAGACACTTGAGAGGGAAAAACTACATATTTATGGGAATGAATGAATGAATGAAACGAATTTTGACAAATGAAGCTGATACAGGGACTGTAAATGAGCCAAATCCAGCTGATTTTAAGTCATTTACCTGGCGGTTGGCATCAAAGAGCCGCTCTCCCTTCTCCTTGGTGACTTGCTGTAGCTCTTCGAAGCGCTCAGTCAAGTCTTCAATCCTAGGTTGAATTATTCCAGCCATTTCTGGTTTCTCATGCATCAAATCTTCTCCAGCCTATGACCATCAAATATGCACAAATGGCACAAAATTATCAAACCAGCCACTGAAGTGAATCTCACAGATGCAGAAGTGAGACAGACCTGTTGGACTCTAATCAATCTATCCTTGTTGGAAGCAATCTCTGCCTCAAAAGCTTGGTGACGTGTCCACTTGGAATGCACTGTTTTAGCACTCCTATAAGTTTCATCTTGGGCAACAATGTTCTTCTCTTGGATCCACTCATCCAACTCTTCACAATCCTAAGAGCAAAATAGCATTAGCAAACACTCCAATTTTATTGACTTAAATATAGATTGGTCAAGTGTACCTCCTTAGTGAATATTTTTTCATGGGAATTACTTTGTCAGCCATCACTATAATGAAAGACAACAAAAGAAAATTCAGCCTTATTCATCCTATGAATTATTAATGGTCCCAAAATTGCTAATTGATATCTTATAGTCCACTGGCACCTGTGGTACAAAGAGTATTCATGGTCAGTTTAACACATTCATTGTCACAGGGTTTTTACATGATTTCCCTCCAGCAGTCAAAATATTACTGAGCCCAGAATAATGAAGAAAGAAAATGACCCACCGGTGGGTCATGTGGTCTGGATGGATGTAAACTAGGGCTGTACTGACGGCCACATTTGGCTGATGGACGATTATTATCTAATACTTATTGGCTGGTGCCAGTGTCAATAATGATTGTAATATATAGAAAGTGAGGAACCATGATATCAAATACTTATTTAAATAGACCCATTAGAAAACTAAACTCAATTTCTCTTAGGGCTGTCACATTGGCTGTTTAGAAAACATCAATATACTGACATGAACCATTAATAGTGCATCAATGCACAGGGGTGGGGTGTTGGTGGATTCAGTCATTTTTCATGACAACCAAGAGGTTTGAATTCTATCATTTCTTGCTTCAATTGAGGCATGAACCTCTTTCTGTCTTCCATCATCAGGAAAAGGTTGTTGTAAAGCTTAAGAGTTGGGAGAACTATTCCAATATGTTCTTAAAGGTGATCATAAAGAAATTGCTGAGCATGTGGCTAATGGAGCATCAGTTCAACTACATAGGCAACATCTTCTTTGAAAAAGAAATTTAGCAAAAAAAAGTTGGAAAAAAAATGAAAACTCAAATTAGAATGTTGCTGACAGTTCTAAAACCAATAGTTTCTTTCTGTTTGATTCAAGTCAAACTGTAGTTCAAATTTATGATGGTTAACCTCCCTAACTTACCTGAAGGAATTGATGAAGCTCAAGCATGTCTCTAAGCCTGTCCATCAACTGCAGAGCCTTTTCCCGGTTGGTACGCTGCCTTTCAGCAATGCTCTCAGCTTTCTTCCCAATCTTGTCAGCTACAAACAGAATACCAACCATTAATGATGTGGGCACAATAAGCCAACTCTAAAACTTATGCCAATATTGAGAATTCTCTCAACACAGGGTAATCACCTCACCTGCAAAATGATTTTCATCACACAATCGATTTGCAAACTGAATTACAGCATTGATTTTCTCATCGTTCGCCTCGAGGGTCGTCATGAATGCTTCATGTCGTTTAATAAGGATTTCTGCCTGCTCCAAGTTGCTCTGAATGAAAAGTAATTCAAAAACATACCATAATAAAACTTCCATGAAGTGAAAAAAGTACTGCAAGTACAAAAGGAGAGCCATATGGGAGATAACTCACAGGTGCCTCATCTTTGGAGAGAAGGTGTTCTTGTTGTGAAAGCAGGACTTCAGCCTGCTTGGCATCACGATTGAACATCTGGAGGCTGAGGGATTGAGAGAGAAGGGCTTGACGATTTTCCCACATCTGATGCAACTCATCCCAGCCATCTTTGAGGGCCTTGAGACGCTCGCGCAGAAACATGTATTGTGGATCTTCTCCTGTATCTCCTTCCTACAAGTCAAGAGGATTTACAAACTAGAGGATCTACCAGAGCAGGATTACCATCACTATGAGAACAAAGGAAGACAACATTTACCTCTGTGACCTTCTCACCATACTCCATGATACGCTCATAGTCTTCAACATAGTTGTCAATCTCATCTCGGATGGCATGGTGTTGTGTGAGAAGATTCTCAGCTTCAGCCAATGATGCAGGAATATCCTCAGATGCAATCTCTTTCTGAGTTTTTCCCAACCATGCTTGGAAATGATCTAAGTCTCTGAGGAACCTATGGAGGTCTCCAACTTCTTCAAGCTTTGCATCCTTCTCTTTCAGCTATTTTAAAAAGAAACACTTCATGAATCACTGTGACAAGACCATCAGAGAAGAAGAGGCATTTACTAATATTCAGACCATCTGTGTGAGTTGATCCCAGACTTCTTGTATTTGAACTATGCGTTCTTGAATGACCTGTCCTTCTTCAGGATGTTCTTGACCGATGGCTTCTGCTTCTTGTTCTAGAGCATCTAACTTGGCCTGGATGGCTCCCAGGTCCCTCTCCATTCCTGACAGACGCCGCTGAAGAGTCATAACTCCTGTGAGATCAGTGCCAAGCTCCTCTGTCGATTGCAAGATGCGCGTCTTGTCCTCAATCCATGTCAGTGTCTCCCGACACTCAATGTGGAATGTCTGAACTCCATGGGCAGAATTTAGTTCATCTTTCTTGGCCTCAGCTTGGTCTCGGAGAGCTCCCCATCGCTTGTTCAACTGAACAAAAGTATATACATGACATTCAATGGTCTCAATACAAAATGGGGATGGTAACAAATACAAAGGCAACATGATCGAACCTCATCTTGTCTGTTCAGAATATCCTCAGTGTTGGGATGCTCAACTTGGACCAGCTGCCTGGCTAACTGGTTCACCACAGCCACACGAGAGGCATTTGTGTTCATCTCCTGTTCAAAGCCTTCATAACGATGTTTCATGATCTCCACATCCTCTATATCCTTAGCTGGCACCATTGTAGCAAGCATTTTCTCCTGTTGCAAGAAGCACTTTTCATACAGGCACCTTGATTACAGAGAGGTCACAACATATAAATTATTATGATCTGACCTTTTCTCCAATCCATTGCTCAACTCCATCAGACTCATTGAAGAGTTTATAAAGGGACAAGGCATCAAGTAGGCGCTGCTTCCTCAGCTTAGCCAGCTCACGCAATTCTTTATAACGACGTTCAATACTAGCTAGACATTCTAGTACCTGCAATACAAGGAACAAACTTTTCTGAATAATGCCATCAATTTGGGGTTCATCATATATTGCACAAAAGTAAATAGCTTTACCTCAGGTGAGTTTCTATCATCATCTCCAAGTTCTTGTGCCTGCTGCTGTAATGCATCAATTGTGGCTGCATAATTGTTCAATTCATCAGTCACATCCTTGTGCTTGCGCAACAGGGACTGAACATTGGCCTCATCTCGACCAACATCCTCAGTGCTGACCAGGCGCAAAACATCTAGCATCCATGTATTCACATCATCTGCATCTGTGAAGAACTACAGCACAGGAAAATACCATCGATTCCATTCTCTTGTAGGTTCATGAATTTATGGGTTCATGGTTATATGGATCATTACCTGGTGATAGTCAACAGCCTCCATAAGTCGCTTACGACGATAGTAGGCCAGCTCTTTCAAGTGCTCCCACATGCCCAAAATCTCAGTGGAACGTTCCAAGATTTTCTCTGATCCAAAGTGCTCTTGCTCAATTAATTCATGCCCAGACTGTATGACTGAGTTCAGTTGGGCTTCATGTGCTGCCAGTTCATCTTCAAGAGCCTATAATGGAAAAAATATATATCAATCTTTTACTTCTTTCTTTCAAACAGATGGTTCAGCAATGGCAAGTAGGAATACACTAAAAATATCATGCCTTGTGTTTAGAAAGGAGGAGATGAACTGTGGTGAGATCATGTCCAATATCACCAGCAGATAGGATTTGTTCCTTTTCTTTGATGTAAGACTCTTCTTCTGCCATGTCCCAGTAAAACTGCCACAGCTTGCGTGATTCTTCCAGGCGGGCTCGCCTCTCAAGTGCCAACTTCACAAGCTCATCAAAAGCATCCTGTATTCCAGGGTGAGAAAGTGGCAAACTTTCAATGTGTCAAATTGTATCAAAAGGATGTCTCAAATGTTCCAGGTTAAAGGCTGAAGCAATGCCACGAATGAAAATTTAAAAAACAAAGTAAATAGAAACCTGGAGCTGCTGGACACGGTCAATGACAATGTTGGGGTCACAGGGTCGATATCCTTCAGTAGCCTCAATGTCTAAGAAGCGATGTGACTGCTGAACCACCATCTTGACTCTTTCTCCAAGGACATTGATGTCTGCTTCAACCAGAGCATGCTTCTGGAGCAAATCCTCCACACCCATCAGATGTTTCCCATAATCTTCACTCAACAGCCGACCCTTGATGCACACAAATAGCATGATATTAAGTTTGTCATTTCACTCTGAGCTGCCACATGATCACTCCAGCAGAAAAGGAAATAGGAATACACATCCAACTTACCTTCAATTCTTCCATAGAATCAAGTATATACAACATCTCCTGGAAATTCTGTTGAAGTTGGAGAGAGAGTTCCAGGCGCATTCGGCGGGCACGCAGGAGCTCAAGCAAATAGTTCCACAGGCGTAGAACATTGTCTTTCCTGCAGGGAAGACACCAGGGATAGGGTAATGAGGCTATACATGGATTGCATCCACATCATACAGAGCAAATGACTCAAGACATTCCATATTACCTGGCATTGATCCTGTCAATATCATGATAATTCTCAGTTTCTAGTTCTTGTGCTACTGCCACAACAGCTTGGACTCGTTCCTCATATGCAAATATATCAGTCTCTATAGCCTCATGTTTCTTTGCTGCAGCCTCCACAGCAGCCAAGTCAAACCCAAAGTTGTCCTGAGAAATAAGTGACAATAAAATTAATGACAAACTAAACACAGTAGCTAGAGCTAGAGATCATAAAAAAGTACCTCACCTGAGATACAAGGCGCTGATTCTCACTCAACCATGTCTCCCGCATGCCAGCTTTCCTATCAAAGCGAGCTGCAAGCTGCTCAAGCTTCTCCTGGCGGATCAACTCCTCTCGCAATGCCAATTCCCTGAACACATTCACATTTAGCCATGCATCCCTGAACCAAGAAGCAATTTAAATAAATTGCATACAAGGCACATTAATGGCTACCTTTCATGCTCAGCCTTCTCCAGTCGCTCCCAAGCCCGATTGATGTCTGATATCAGTTTCCCTTCCTTGGGTGTATAGGGCTTCTGATTGTTTGCTCGCATTTTTGACTGCAGTGTGAATAAAAGGACCTCCAAGTTGCCCTTCTCCTCAAACCTAGGGACAATAAATTTCAAGAAATAATCACAACACATTGATAGGCAAACACTGAAAGCGGGCAAATAATCTAAATGACACTCACTTTGGTGGTTTCTCAACTGTACGGTAGGTGTTGAATTCTGTGAGTTGCTGCTGAACACCAGTAAGAGAGTTAGCAAAGTGACGATCGCTCAGGGCTTGGATAGTTTGTTCAATCCATTTCAGAAGTTCAGAAGTCATGGTTTCATAACTGCGGATCATTTGATCGTTATCCATGGCTATGCCAACGATCTTGGCTATTCTCTTCCCTTGCACAGTCTCTTGGCGCATTTTTGAGAAGTAGTGGTAGTATGTCACGACATAAGTGATGATGGACTTCTCATCAGGGAATTCCACAAAGACATCTAGATGTTGAAAGAATATTTTTAGGTTGTATCACTCTTAATACAATGAGATAACAGCACTATAAGGCTCAACGAAAAACGATTAAAGACAAGCTGACCTTCAGGATCAAGGAGCTTAGTGAGTCCCAGTCGCTGCTCTGCCACATTGAAGGCATTGTTGAGGTTATGTAGAGGATTGGATTTCGTAAGCTTCTCAAACTGAATGAGATCAGGACGATGCTTGTGGATGAGGGCATTGAAGGCAAGTCCATCGCGCCACGATGTGGTGAAGTTGCGTATATTCACATTGTGATATCCGGCTGTCTTCATCTGACACCAGAGGAGCAAGGCATCTTTGGCGGACTTTGTCTCCTGGCTCTCAGTCTCCTCAATCGTAATATCTTGAATCTGAAACATGGGAAGGGATTAGTACAGTCATATTCATGCCAATAAATTAGAGGCGTTTATTTAGGGTCATCAAACCTGGAAGCGAAGGATGATGGTCCATATGAGACCAAGTGTCAGCCTGGGATTCCCATCAACAATATCGTGTGATCCCATGTTCTCAAGATGCACCCGCTGTTCTCGAAGGAATTGCAAGGCCTTGTCCACATTCTCCAAACAGTGGATTCGCATTTTCCCCTTCGTTGGGCGCGGCTACATAAGCAGTTCAGAAGAAAGATTGCAATGTACATTGAACAAGATGGAAGCCACTTCGAAAATATACTGCAATTGCTAAAAAAAAAAAAAAAGGCGTAAAAATACACCCTAAAAGGTTGACGTCAGAATTCTCAAGACATAATTGATTCTCAGAACTTGAAGGATTTTTAAAATATTTTTTGGGAGATTTTGCGAGGGAGAGGGGTACTGACCAATCTCTCCCCGGAGAGGATTTCCAAGAGCTTCATGAGCATTTTTCCATCTCGGAGGTCGAGGTAAAGGTCACCGATTCGGGAATTCAAACGGATGAGATGAGAGTTCACCCATTTGGTGAAGGTCTTCTTCTGCACGCTCTCTCGTTCATCTGCGCAGTAAGAGAAGGCCCAAATCATAAATAATAATCAATAAAAGGATTATTGGATGATCAATATATTTTGTCATTGTCCCAGACTAGTTCGACCATAGCAGTGATGAGACGACACGTGCCATGGAGATCATGCCTGGCTATCCATCTCACACCACGCTTGACCTTGATTGCATGACAAAAGCATTCAACGTTCAAAATATGGTGTGGCCGAGTGACCGAAAATTATTTCAGAGGAATGGCGTCAGCGAGATAATCAGGGACAAGGGAGCGAGGAAAAAAAGCTGGAGGGAACCAGGGAGGATTATTGCTGGCTTCCGGCACGGGGAAGCAGCCGGAAAAAAAAAAAAAAAAAAAAAAAACCTCACAATGTCTCTCACGCAGAAAGCACGGAGAGCGGGACTGCGGCGGCTGGCTAGCTTCATCATTGGCCTCAGGCTATTATCTCCATCCACGCTTCCATGACTCAGCCTCAACTCTCTCATGACTATAATGACTAATGAACTACCCAAACCGATGACTTATGCACCTGCACCTGCTCCTGCTTCCCATTATCACCCACCTTGCCAAAAAGTCCCTTATCCTTAAAAGCACCGGGATATAATCTTCAAAGCATCGTTTAAGTTACGTGACATGATCAGAGAGAGAGAGAGAGAGAGAGAGAGAGTGTGTGTGTGTGTGTGTGTGGTGGAAATTCTTTATCACGTTCCTCACTCGAACGGGATACCTCGTATCGTTCCAGTTGCTTCCATTGCAACACAAAATATTGCCCTACTCCAACAGAGCAGAAGCCAATGCATGTTATCGGGGGCATAATGCAGTACCAGTATGCACGCAAGCGACGAAGAACCCATTGTATGACGCAGAGGCTGGCATTTGTTACCGATGTCGTACTGATGCAGACTGTGGCTCAAAAACAATAGAACCATGGAAATTGTGGCAGGAACACATGCTTGTACTGTATCATACTGGAAGACGAACCTTGGAGATGGCGAATGGTGTTTTCCATGTGATCGGAAGTCCTATGCAAGGACTGCTGAATAAAGTTCCCCCATTCTCCAAGTTCCTTATTTTCCTTGCCGTTTTCGCATTCGTCTCTGACAGTCATCATTATGAACCCTGTCCTTCATACAGTATTCACCACGACATTCCTGGCGCCAAAAATTGCTTTTTATCTCCTTATCTCGATCACGATCACGCACCCGCAAACACGAACGAGGGACGAGTCGGAGTGACAAGAAAAAAAGACAACGATGGAGGGAGAGAAAGAATAGACGTGCTTCTGGAAAAGGACTTGGGACTGAGAGAGCAAGAAAGAGAAGGAATAAGACTACTGAAAACGGGAAACGGAAGGTGGGTTTGATAAGCCCAGCGTGCCAGACCCTCTCTTTGATAACATCCTTCTCGCCACCGCCACAGGACCAAATCAAATTGGCACAATAAACCTCCATCGCATCGGTCCGTACATGAAAACGAGACATTGACTTCAGATTCCAAGTGCCCAAGAGCTTATTGAAAATACGCGCTCTTAACTTCATCGTAGGCAGGCATCGGATCTACACCTATTGGGTGACATGCACCGAATCCGTTTAAGCTAAACTAATCAGATCTCACAATGGTTTTCAATGGGAATCAGTTTAACCGAGATAAACTTTTTCCCCTAGACGTCCATTATGAAAACGAATCAGTTTAAAGTTAAACGGATCTGGTGCATGTCACCCATTATTTAATAATATATTTCATTGCAAAATTTCCTGTTTCAAAGTCAGCCCTTCTAATAATACAAAAGAGAACCATCAACAGAGAATTCAGTCACCATCAACATCACCATTGTCATACCGGTGAAGGCATGTCAAAGAAAATTGAAAGTACATCACCATGATGACAATAAGACGATGTGGAGGAAAATGAGAAGGACGTGCAATGATCACCTTGCAGAGTTCTCTCTTGCGAGCCCCAATATCCACGGCCGAACAAATATGCCGGTACACGGACGCACCCGATTCGACTCAATCAGGCCTACTTTAGAGCGGAAATGTGTCCTAATCAGCCGGGCGAATCGATAGCTGAGCCAGAATCTCGTCAACTCTTCCTCATTATCATCGCGAAACTGAGCCTTCAAGGCCGCTCTAGACGCATACAGATCGGCCATGATTGATGACGGCTGCGCCAGATGAGGAGGAAAGCGTGAGAGATCCCGCTGATCAGAGTTCCATTCCATCCATGGTGTTTTCTTCCCTTATCACAGTCAAGCTGGCTTTGTTTTCCTGGAGCATACACTGAAGAAGTAGCCAAACATGAGATATCCCCCACATATACTGTATATCCTCAAGAATTCTAGTTTTCCCATGGTAGCCTCGTCTCCATGTTGAGTTCCTTCTCGACCGACTCGATATCTCCAATCTTTTATACATTGCCCTCTTTCTGGCCGCCTTGAGAGAGGGAGGGAAAAGGGCTTTCACATATCCTATTCCTTTGTGGGTTCCCGAATACATGAAATACAGAAGAATCCACCTCGAAAGCTCACAGACACGAGCTTCGCAATCTTCCAAGACAGCAGTGAGGGCAGGGATAAAGGTGAGAGAAAGGAGAGATCAGTTCCCGGGGCATGCATGATGTATGCAAACATAAGCAATTAAGCCCAAGGCACCTTCGGCTTGAGAAAACATAATTCCAAAGAAATTCCTACTTCAAGGAACACGATTCAGGATTCAGAACTTCAGGATTCTATTAAATATACAATTACATATTTTTCAACTTCAGTATTTGTGCATGCATCCTGCACAATATGAGAACACCCCAACAAATTATGTGGAGCATGGAAGCAGTAGCTGGAGAGTGGGGTAACTCTTCGCTTCACTTCAGTAAAAGCTGAGAAACGAGTCAATGAATCGAACGCGCCAGCTTCCCATATATCAACAATTATAAAACATGAACAGTGACGATAGAAGGCTTCAAATCTCCACTACTCGTAAACTTAATTGTTACAAGAAAAACCATGAATCACATTCGATTATTTTTTACTCTAAGCAACTCTCCCTTCTAGTTCACTAAAATCTGGCTTGGTTATGTTGTAGATGCCAAATGGATAGCGAGATTTTCCATTCCCTGGGCATGACGCCATCAAGAACTTCGTCCTTGTACCTCAGCGACTGAGGCGATGAAACCGATTGGGTAACAACAAAAGGAGATGCTCTTTCTTTCACAATCACCGATGCTATGCGAAGTAACAATTATTTCCGCAATAAGTTCTAAAGTCATTAGTGATAAATATGCATTCAAGTAATTGGACAATATTAAACATATATTTTGTACAGTAGCATATTTTGTTTAACAGTTGTTAAACAGTAGTATATTTTGATTAAGGGTGGATTTTTGAACAGAGAAATATCCGATAATGCAGCTTTATTCCAAGGAAAATACATATTTCCTGGAAATAAAGCGGCATTATCGGATAGTTCTCTGTTCAAAAATCCACCCTAAGAATCGAAATTTAAACATAAAACGCGTTTATTGGTGCCCTTCCCTCAATCCCCAATCCAATCGATGCCAGTTTTACTTCATGGAGCTCCAGTCCCAAAGTAGCATTATCAAGTATAGTATATCAAAGCCGGCTTACGAAATGTTTACTCATGCAACTAGTGCAAAGTGCTACGAAATGAGACGCAGCATATGTGAGAAAGAGGTTTACACATCCATATCCATGACATGTCACAACTTCCTCGTTTTCCTCATGCAGTCTCCGTGCCCTTGCAAAATCACAAGCCACATTGAGGTCTGAGACTGAGGGGCATGCCCTGAGATTGATCCCGATTCATTGAGATGTTCTATTTCCTTTCTGCTGAAAGGATGCAAAATCGTCAGCTCTCGTTCGGGAAACGATCTGTCAAGCTAGAATGTTTACATCTGTAATGGGATACCTTCCAAACTTTGGAAAATGTTTTGGCTCCTACTTCCTCCGTGGGACAAAGCATCGTGGCTTTTAGTCTAAACCCCACTGAGCACCTTGCGAACTCATGAGACTAGGACAGGGTGCCATAGGTGAGTCCATAATCCATGAATGTGCATTGCCTCATCATTCCGAAAAATCAAACGATGTAATGTATGGCCATTTTCTAATTAACAGCTCAGAATTCGTGACCTTATCATATCAAATAAAGCAAGCAATTCAATATAACCCATTGTTCATATTTGGAATAAAGCATTTCAATGATCACCAGACATAAAGATCATTATACTTTCACACGATGATAACCTGTCGATGACAGTGTGCAGTGAAACTTAACCGTGACGATAGTTGAAACGTTCATACGGTCGCCACTGGTCAATACGATAAAAGTCAGAGTGGTTGGTTCGCAAGTATCCACCCAGAGCACTAGTGTTGTCTGCTCTTCATTCTTGTGTTCACATCAGGCTAAGCACATTATAAGATAACAATACAATAGATCCCGGTTTCTTTCGTACGAGGAAAAGGAAGTATGTATTTGTGGTCTCATTCGCTTTCTCCCTTAAACATGGGAATCCCGTCTGCCGTCTGGGGCGTGCTTTCCCAATGAGGATCAGAACAGGAAATTTAACATACGAATACGCTACCGTATGATTTCAAACGTAAACGGAGGGGAATGAAACCTGAACACGTTTCACATTCTTTTGTCATATGGACATGACAATAATTGACTGATAAATTCTCGAGAAACGACAAACTATAACCTCCACAGCATTTCATGTGCATATGACAGCATTTTCTCACATTCGCTAGAAGCATTTATTGGGTCGAATCGTTAGAAAATTAAAAACAATAAAGAATAAAATATTAACATAACAAAACAAACAAATATTATATATTCCTGTCCCTTATGGTAGTCCCTGCACATTACCTGTCAGGTTAGACAGTGATGTGGGTGTAACATATGGATTCACTTCCTTCTCTCAACCGGTAGTCTATTTCTCTGTTAGGGATATTATTTACTTTAACGATCGTTTCATGCAAACAATGATTTTTTCTGTTCACACTATAGGCAATCAAAACATATAGCGACCGTTTGTGCGAGCGTAAATTCATATTGTGATCAAGGCTTTACAATGGGAAGTATTATTCAAGCAGAGAGATAATTCAGGATATTCCAGTGTACATTATACCGGTACCCTGCCTCACTGCTCCAGGCCCTACGACTCACTGATCGCCGTGTGACTCTTACTGACAAGTAACATTTTCAAGCTGGACAAGAGTCATTAGAATTTTCAACACCGACAAACCCAAACTTTCCGATATCGAAGACTGAGGAAGCTGATCATCAGTGAGCAGAAAAAAGCAGCTAAAAAGAACCAGTCAGACTCCGACTTGGATTTTTTTTTTTAAAGGAAAGAGAGAATGGTGAAAACTCTAGCAAGGAAGGCCATTCAAGTTCACGCCTATACTGCCTGGACTGTACTCCTTTCTCCACTGAGTCCATACTACTCACAGAATTAGTATTCTCTCAATATCGGAGAACCTCTCGGGAATAAAACTCATGTTTGATGTAGCGATGCCTCACCTGCGAGGGCCTTGATGCGAGATCTCTCGAAGAGCCGCGATGACGAATTGCCTCCATCGTATTCGAAGTCTTCGATTATTTCTTGGCCAAGAGTGGCATCCCAGCGAAGCCCTTGCACTGCAATATCCGTCGTCATTTCTCTATCTAATATTCTCACTGATCACCTCGTTGGAACGAACATCAACAGGGACGAGCACAAACCGAGGGCTAGCGAACTAGCCCTTTTCCAATTCAATATTTCTCTTCTTCCTCCCTCCGTCGTTCTACCTGGAATAAATAATAATAAAGCAAAATATAATTTGGTTTCCTAAACTTCATAACTTAAAATGAGTGTCATACGCCATGTAGGCCCACCGCGTCATTCCGTGCTACACGAGAGAAGCAATCGCTAATAGCATATGCCTTCTAGTAATGCACGCGTAAAAGGCACACCTCAAATGGCGATAATTCAAACGTCGAGTGCGGTAGAGTCCGGTTCAAGGTCGAGGAACGTGGATAGGTTTCAATGCAATGACTTCAACGTCTTGAAGAGAATTATCTGGCATACTTTGCCATTCACCATTCTTTATGCCACCGTTTTCACATAGTAATGCAGACATTGGCGACAATGTAAGCATTGTAAGCAATGTAAGCCCTTGACTCTGGCTTGAAAAACTTTAAGAAAACGAAGTATGACGAGAAAGTTTCAAACAACGAGTAAAGCCAAAACACCGCATTTATATTATCACGGTAATCAATATCTCTTTTGGATCACGTCACAACAATTGGTGTTTGGTCCCGTCCGACCAGCATGCATAGATGAATTCCTTGAGAACAGTATACTACAAAACTGGACAAAGCTCATGGAAAATTCATGTCTAGCGGAGACAGGGCCAAACCAGATCCGCGGGCCTATCTCCTTTTCCCATACGTCTTCCAACCCAAAGAATGGGCATTGAGGAAAGAAAAAAAATCCGTCTCTAGATTTCCCCATGACTGAGGAAATTTATGGTTTGTGCACTGAAGCATCAGTTTTTGCCGACTGTTAAAAAGTCGGGAAATAAGGCGAAGACAGTAAGACCCGTGGTGAATACTCATCTTCACACCATCTTGGGTCATGTGCTCAAGTGTTAGGAGGGTGAAGCGATGGAAGAGGAAAGAAGCAACAGATATCAGGGCCAGAGCCTGTAGAAAGAGGCAGGCGAGGTTGCATGAGAGGAGGCGGTTTCCCCTCCCTCCTTCCTTCTCATCGATCCAATTTCCACAGAACCTCCAGAGATGGGATACGGGGAAAGAGGTAGTGGTGGTTTGGGGTGATCTCACTCAGCTTGGATTCTCACGTGGTCAGAAACAAGGCAAGGGAGAAGGCTGGGGACCATTCGGCACGTACAACACACACACACGTACGTACAAACATGAGTAGACAGCGGGGCATGAAGGACGGAAACGCTCCGGGCTAGCTCAATATTCTCCCCTCTTTTCTGCCTCGCGTCGCGTTCTCGAGGATTGCGTTAAAACACGGGCTGAAAGGAACAAAGAAATGCCAAGTTCTTTCCATATTTGTTTCACGGACCTTGTCAACCATTCGAGAAAAACCTTACATTCATATTGCACAGAACCGGAACAAAAGATTCGCGACTGGAAAAATACATTCGACAACTTATTGAGTTCCTCCTCGTACTATGCACCAGAAAAAGCTGAGTGGAAAGCAAAGCAGAGGCCGGTGACGTGCGCGCATGATTCCAGCCACAAGCAGTACATCAGAACCTTAGGGCATGTACTAAATCTCCTCCTCCCTTGGGTTATTCTCCATGGCTGGAGGATATCAAAGACCCACTTACGCTATGGCCAGTCTGACAGTCCAGAAGAAAAGGAAAGGAAAGTCCAGCAGGAAACAACGGGAAAGGGAGCTTGGCATGGCCACTCCCATGCTCTGTAAGGAGATACCAAGGTCTTCTGCCCCTCCAGGCAAGGTGACATCATCTCTAGAATGGCAAAGCAAGCTCAGTAGCCTCCTTTTTCCTTCTCATCGTTATCGAGGAAGCCCAAGCCTAGGAGTTATAGTGGTGAGAACTCTCAGGGGGTGGGGTGGGGGGAACACGTGACCCCCATCTGTCACTAGGGTGCCTGCTTCATGTAGGCTGTACGACTAACTCACACATACATCCTTACAATGCGTCGCAGTGTTGAGCCATGGTCTAAAAACCCCTCCCTCCTCACATGGAGACAATCGTTCCAACACTTCTTTCATTTCGTATGGCTTACGGTAAATGACTTTGTCCTGACGAAAAAAAGCGAACTGCATTTCCTGGAAGGCCTATTCCAAAGATGACGGGGCTTGCTGACATAAAAGAATGTCACGTTCTCGTTCAATAGGGAAATTGATGAGCACCCTCAATGACACTCATGCACACCTATCAACGGTGTGACAAATGGGAATTTGTTCATGACAATACCATGTATGAAATACACCGTTCATTCTCTCTCCGGAGAATCGATACCGTCAGTTCTCCATGCGATGTTGTCATGTACGTATTATTAAGTAAGTATGCTCTTGCAGTCTGAATCAAAGGTCGAAAGGTCTACTGTGACCTTTGGAGTCCCCCCCCCCCCCCATTTTCTATATTGATGTTTTAAAACATACTTACAAAGGATAAATTATGGTATCTGTATCCTGAGCTCTAACCCACTTCGAAAACTTACACGCGTCCGAAAAATATACTAAGTCAATTCAAGTTCACTACGTTTAATCCCAGCTATGCCAATATATGACAGGCACTGCTTCATCACACTATCAGCCCATGACGGATATATACATGCAATGCTTTATCACACTATCAGCCCCGGCACGTAGACTTTCTTTCCTAGACTCCCTTTCGACGCTGCTGAGGGGGAATAGAATTGCACCGGAATGGCAAAGGTCCAGGCAGCAGAGGAACATATATTCATTCCAAAAGACCATTTTCGATGACAATGGAAGGAGCACAACACGCTGATTCGATACATCCCACACACTAAGATGAGTGCAATAACCGGGGGAGAATAGCGGAGCATTTGAATACGAATGATGGAATGGACTTCCCCATGAGAGCTGAAATGCACGTGCGGGTGGCTCCAGAGAGCTTCGATCGATTGTCCTCGTCGGCTTGGGCTTGCCTCCCCGCCGCTCTCACTCTCGCAACCCCGACACCAGCACACATACACGCATTTCCACAATGTGCTCTCGCGGTCTTTCAAAACGATATATCGAAAGATAACGGGAGATGCAGGACGGAGCGGAAAGCACGCCCATTTTGAAGTCCCCCACGTGAGTGCGGGAGAGGGGGGAGAGCGAAAGCCGGCAAACAGGAAGGGCTGAGGACGAGGGGTAGGGGAACGGAAATAACTTCACTCCTCGCACAGCCGATTCATGGACTAGCTTGGCCTATCCAACTGCCTGTGCCGAGTCGAGCAGAGGCAGAGGAGAGAGCAAGGAGCTTTCGGAATGGGTGCTGTTCATCGGCGCATGCGGGCGGAGGGGATGAGATGGCCAAGGAGACTCAGAGGAACTCGACATGGAACATAGATCTCTCCAAACGGGTACAGCTTTCAGTAGGAGCGGAAGCATACGAGTCTGCTTCGGATCCCTTCCGCACGTGATCCGCCCACATTCTTTTAACTCGTCTGGCAATTCGCCAAGAATGAGAGGCTCGATCTCGGTTTACGCAATATTGCTCGGCCAAACTGGTTAAGAATTTCATTATATACACTTCATGGAGTCTATGAAGCAGTAGATTGCTTTCGCGAAGACCCACCCCATTTGAAGAGTTTGACTTCTAACTGCACATAATAAAAGACACCACGGTAGGGTCAAACGTTTCAGGATTTTACGCAACAAAACAATTATTGCAAAAATAAATAAATAAATAAAATAAAATGACGACTGTTTCTACCCGGCACAGCAAGCATGAAAAAGCGTCGAAGGGCTCAGCAAAAACATGCCAGAAACCTAGACAAACTGTCTGAAAACGGATCCAACCCGAAATGCAGGGGAGGGAGAGATGTGGAATACGACTCTTTCTAAGAAGAGCGAATGGCACACGGCCAGCTGGGTGAGCATATCAACCACAATTCAGTCTGCACTGCTCTGCTTTTGATCTCCCTCTCTCTAGTCGGCGATGAACTGCCATCTTCAATGGGAACACTCAATTATCCAATTCCATTAATCTTATGCAGTATATAAGGAGGTTCCATCTTGCATGACACAGTGGGGAGTGGAACAGCACCAGGGGATTCCTGCCATCGGCAGTTGACAAAGTCTAGATGCAAGGTCGTCCATAGGTTTAAGCAGCTAGGCCCAACACATCAAGGAATCCCAATACACTCAACCAATAAGCCTACTGCTCATCCATATGGCTACCGTTCCACTATTGGGCCAAAGGATCATGGTGACAAACTGATGATGAAAATAGTAATTCATCTAGGTAACTCACTATGCAAGAGTGGAATGCAAATCAATTGATGGAAACCAACATTTAAATAAAGCTGGGTCTTCCATCAAAAATACAGCAAAAATTGGGCTTACATCGAATTTTTTTACATTTCTTTACAAAAAAAAAAGTATAAAAGCTTTTTCAACATATTGGTCTTGGATGTTATGGATTTAAATTTTGGATAGGCTATTAACACAAAGACTGCCCATCCCAACCAATATGCTATTGGTTCTGCTGCCATTGATGACTAGTTAAGTGGAAATGGGCAGTCAATCCTTTCACTGCTACTTTTTTTTTTTTTGCTTCTGGTGCACCATAGTGTGCTCTACTTAAAAATAAAAAAATAAAATATAAATGATATATATTGGAAGCTTTCTCTTGCATCTGTTGTGGCAGCCACTGTCTTCTTCCTTAGTGATTATTCCCTGGCATGGAAATGTTGAAAAGGGTTTTGTTACACTGCAAGTTGTTTTGTAGGATTGTGCCTGACGAGACTCCTACGACTTGTCAGCCCATTAGGTCTCCTTAGCTGTCATTCACTTTTTATACTGCTCTTGTGTCTGCTAACTCTATTTTCACTCTGGCTACTGATTTGGTTTTTTTTAAATCTGAATTCATTTGTCAAGATTCTGAGTCATGCCAATGGTGGTTCATTACACTCACCAAGTGCATCCTGGCGTTTCTG